ATTCACTGAGAGCAGCAACCCTACTACCAAAAAAATACTGAAAAAATCTCAGTTGAACTTGAAGTAAATAATTTCCTTAGCAGGTTTTTTTTTTTGCAACAGGGAAAATATATCCTCAATGAAAAGTCTACTCCCTGGCTGGGAGTCGAACCCAGCTTTCGCGCGTGCGCTTGGAAATGCCGTCATGACAGGCGCGTGTACTAACCGATATACTACCAAGGAACACTTTCTTACATGAAAATCTAAAAACTTATATGAATATAAGGTGGATACCAGAAAAATAGAGATAGACAGTAGATATAATTTTTGCGAGTGCAACTCATGTAACCACATAAGTATACAATTCATCATGAAAGTTAAAAAAAAACAATACAAGTTTCCAGAATCCCCTGAGTTGTTTTTTTGTGCAACAGGAAAAAGTTACCGTTTACAAATGTGGGACCCCCTGGCTGGGAGTCGAACCCAGCTTTCGCGCGTCCACCATTGCTGTACTTAATCATCAACAATGACAGGCGCGTGTACTAACCGATATACTACCAGGGAGTTGTTGTGAAAACGTTGAACACAGATAGAATAACGTACCACAGTCTACAGACGCGTTTGTAACACCATCGTTTTTAAGAATCTGACTATGTACGCAGAGTGAGGACTATAAGTACTTATTTGAATCTTAAATAGATAGCAAAAACGATTTTTTTCGCAAGTACTAACCGATATACTACCTACCTACCAGGGAACATGTTCTTACATGAAAATCTAATATGAATATCCTGGTATGTAAGGTGAACACCAGAAAAAAAAATAGATAGATACTTAGTAGATATCATTTTTGCAAGTACAACTCATGTAACCACATAAGTATACAATTCATCATGAAAGTTAAAAAAAAACAACACAAGTTTCCAGAATTCCCTGAGTTTTTTTTTGTGCAACAGGAAAAAGTTAGCGTTTATCAGTTGCAGAACTCCCTGGCTGGGAGTCGAACCCAGCTTTCGCGCGTCTGTGTAGATGCATGGAATCATATATGACAGGCGCGTGTACTAACCGATATACTACCAGGGAGTTGTTGTGAAAACGTTGAACATAGATCCAATACGTATTTGCCACAGTCTAAGACCAGACGCGTTTGTTACACCATCGTTTTTCAATAATCTAACTGCGTACGCAGAGTGAGGTACTTATGTAAATCTTAAATAGATAGCAAATCGATTTTTCGCAATATAGTTTGTGTAACTACATGAGGTAAAAAAGCAAAAGAGCAACGCGAGTTGTTTCAACGAGTGAGAAGAATAAGTGAGTGACAATATGTAAAGAAAGAAAAAAGAATAATTGTTTGATGGGGAGTTGTTGAGCTCGGAGAGAGCGTTGAGACGGGTGCTCACTCGAGCGCTTTGAACGGGGTTTGATGATGGATCCGACGGTTTGTTTGGATGTTGCGGAACAGGAACGGTACTTAGAAAGAGTAGTCAAAGACTTGACGAGAAGGATCCTTGGGGGTCGGGATGAACCCGAAAGTGGTAGCGGTTTCAAGTTGGTTGAAGATGCAGCACAGTGATGTTGTAGATGTAAGGACCGTCTACGAGATAAAAAAAGAGATGTGTGAGTTAGGAGAAAAACAAAAGGTAGAGGGAGAGAGAAAAAAAGCAAAATACTCACTCATCCCATGAACGATTTTGGGAGTGTCATCCAAGAGTTACGGGGAGGAGAGAGTGCTTTTTCATGACCAGGAACGGTAGTAAAGTCGTTTGGACAAGTTGGGTTGAAGAGCCATCGTGAGGAGCGAAAGCGGAGGACGCGCTGTTGTTGAAAGCAGCACCACCTGATGTACCGGGCCGAGAGAGAGGCAGAGGGACGCTAGAACCCATAGGCGTGCCCGTGGAATAAGGCGTACTCCATCCGCTGTAACTTCCACCACCGTGGTGCAAGTTCAAAGCAGACGCGGAAGGAACGCGCGAGTTGGTGACTGCAAATGCCGTCGCGTT